CCAGGCAGGAGAGTGTGCTGTTCACAGGGATGATGACTCACAGACCTGGGAGAGAGAGAAAGATGGCGTGAGTGGACTCTGATCACAGTTCCTCTGCTTGTGCTCAAAAATGTGTTAGAGGATTTTGCTTTGGTGCTCTTCCAGAGCCAGAAGACTCCTGGCATGCATTCCCATAACAGTCTGAAAAAAGGTAGACACAGATTATGACTATGTGCCTTTCTTTTCTGAACCAAAATTTCAGCAAACGTTTCTGTTTCTTGAGATGGGACAAAGGCAGTGAGGGTGGGTGCCTCACATCTCATTATACATGTGCAGGGACAACTGCAAGAGGTAGCCTAGTATGTACAGCCAGGAAGAGGGTAGACTTCCTGCTGAGGTAGGAGTGGGTTATGGGTCTCTGTGTGTTTAGTTAGGTAGGCAGAGTGTGGAGAATGAAAGGCAGGTCTATGCCTTGTGACCTATGGTGGGGAACTGGAGCTGTAGATCCCGACATAAAGTGAAGGAGGTCACTGAAAGAGAAGGGAGGGGCTGTGGATGCTGACATGGATGGCCAAGGCCTGGAGAAAACTTTGCAGCGCTCTGAGTGGTGACATACGATGTTGGGGCAGGGCTTTGGAACCTGACACATTGTGACAGAGGGACACTGGAGGTTGAAGGCAGGGCACTGAGGAGGACTTGGTGGGTGGAACTGTTGGTTGGGCTAGGGTATAAGTGCTACGCTCCCTGCAATAGGCCCTTGCAATCCACCTAAGGCCTTAGCTGCTCGCTCCGAGTCTGTGCTGACACAAGGTTTCTGAGTTCCTCTAAAACAAGGTCCGTTTTACACCCGTTTATTCGAGCAGCTTTCCTGGGACACAGTCGCTCCCTGGCAAATGTTGGATGTACAAGGGACTGCTCTCTCCTTCCTAGTGAGATGCATTCACTCTCAGACCTGAGAAGCTCCTGAGAACGGGACATATGCAGGGGAGGGAAGTGGAAGACAGTTCCTTCCTCATGGGAGACAGCCCATGAACCCTACCAATGTTGGAAATGTCACTGTGCCCACTTGCCACCTGTGCCAGTGTCTCCTCCTGTGTTCCTTCTTCATTGGATGGCTGCTGACTTCTGTCTTTCACTGCAGCACCAGTACAGAGCTCGTTCAGCTTAATACGGGGAGACCTCTGAGCAGAGCCTGCTCTTCCCCTTGTGTCCTACTCTACAGCTCACATCCTCTCTTCTTCTGAATGTGGACTCACGCATTGGACCACCTGTGTGCTAATCTGCATGGAACAGCCCCTCATTGCCCTTAGGCTGTGAGCCCACCAAGACCCCAGACTGTGAGCAGGGAAGGACTGTCTGATGACACCAAACCTCCGGTGGTCTTCCAATGAATATATTGAGGACTGTGGGATTGCGTATATCAAACCCTTTGCCACAGACCATATCAAAAGGGATGTCATTACTTTGTGGGGATGTAATATTTCTCTACTTAGATCCTGCCTGCTTGGCCTAAGATCTCAGCCCACTAAATGAGTGGAGTTTCTGCCATGCTGAATGGTCCTTGATGTGGTCCTGGAGCCAGGCAGGGGAGGAGCTTCCCACTGCCATGCTTACCAGAACCAAGTCCTGAGTGAGACTGTCTTTTATGTTCCCGCACAGACCTTATTTCCTAGCTCACGTGGGCAGCTGAGAATACTCAGGGTTGTGAATTAGACAGGCAGAAAAAGGGGAAAAGTCAAGAATGTCACTGTGCTACAGTCACCCCACTCAGCCATGAAGTTCTGAGCAAACAAAGGGGGCTAGCCCTCCCATTTGTTCCCTTATGACTGGGTGACTTCTGGCAGCACTGACCACAGCCTGTGCTCTGACTGACTTTTGTTAGCTGTCTGTCTCTTATTCCGTGAGCTCTTGAAAGACTCCACAGGAGCAGAAGGAACCCTGATCCCCACACTTCACATTGGGCCTCTCATTGAGCAGAGCGTCATTGGCTTGTCAGCAATACAAGCAGTGCATCACCAGGCTCAGTGGCTTTCAGGGCACAGGGAGACATCTGGAGAAGATGAGGCCCAATGGCTGTGAGCCTGAAGGGAAGTGCTGTGATGTGATTCTGGATTTAGTCCCAGGGAGCCCATGGAAAATGAGGTTTACCTTCCTCTCCTCCCAGCAGCCCTATAGTAGATTTGTCTTAAACTGAGTCACAACTTGTGTCTGTGTCCCCTGCTGAGGCTAGTCACCAGAGCTGTACAATCACTATCGCAATGCTCACAGGGACTGGAACACTAGACTTGGCAATAGGTGGCTGAGGATGTTCTAGGAATGACCCCAAGGAGCCTGTGGCCTTGCACTAACTTGTGAGATGAGTGACAGCTGACCTTGAGCCGACCTTGGTGACTAACCTAACCCTAACTCTACCCTACAACGCAATACCTGACAGTTTCTAAAGAAAATAATTTTATTTTGCTCCCATGTCTTTGGGGTTTAGGTGAGGGTGACAAATTCTGCAGAGGTGTGTGGCAGAACCAGTCACTTAAAACTTCAAACAGGATAAAGGAGAGACATTCTGGACTCAGCATCCACAATCCCTGTTTTAGGTACGCCTTACGTAAAAGGACCTCCAGTCATGGACTGTGAGGGGATATTCCACATCCAAACGGTAGCACTATCTTATCAACTATACTGACTACTCACCAGAGGGATGGAACCAATGAGGAAGAAGTAATTAGTGGGGAGGAAAAAGATTATGAAAATTACATGTTGGGAGTTATTCAAAGTAACGTTTTTCACATGGTTTGATTTAGAAACACTAAAGTCCTGCAGAAACTACAGGACCCCCAGCTAACATCCCCCCTATTTTCAGGTGTCACAGGGCTTAGGAATCTAAGAGTCCAGCTGATTTTACAGTGCTGACTGCAGTCTAATCGAGGAAAGGCATCATGGGAAAGTCAACCTCTCTTGTCCGGTGGACCTGTTACATCCGGTTTGGACATGATGTGTTGTACCAGAGCATCAGCTATCACCCGCACAGGAATCTCAGAAGAAGGAAGGGAGGCTGTCAGGGTTCATAGAACCCATGGAGTCAGGAGCTCCATGAGATAGTCAGAAGCTGCCTTTCCTCCTGCCCTGACACACAGGTACACACAAATAATTAACGTTTTAAAATTGGAAGTTATCTCAACAGTCAGCTCAATCTCTCCTGATCAGGCAGGCAGAAGAGCACCTGGTCAGGACTTCTAACACTCGCTGTCTCAAGATCCCTCCACGTATCAGAAAACCCTTGCAGATGGTAAGGGTAGTCCATTCAGTGTATGTAGCATGTTCAACTGCAACTGCCATTCCTGTCCCAGGACAGGATTCCTCTCTGCATATTTTTGTTTTCTGCACACGCTATGACAGTGTTCTCTCTCTGAGCTACATCCCCAGTCTGATTCCTCCCTGCTGTGCCAACTACCAAAAGACACTCAGATCAGTTTCCCATTCACTCAGCCCTAGGTCAGTCACACCTCCCAAGGGGTGGCTCTGCCTAGTTCGGATTTCCATTACAATCAACTCTACCAGCAGAAATGGCCATTTCCAGGATTCCCAAACTACCTTTGTTTATGGCATTGATACCCGGCTGCTGTCCCCTTGAAGAAACCCACTGTGCTGCCTCCTGTATTCGCATTTCTGGTCTAAAAGGACTTCTCACTGTGGGCCCTATAGGGATGTTGTTCCTGCACATAACCATTTGATGCTTAAGGACAGATCTGGCTTCTAGTACCCCACTGCTTATACGGGGCATGGCACACAGAGGTTTGGTGACACAAGCAGACATACACACTACACTTTGGTTTGGTATTTAAATAGGTAACAAGAACTGAGCCTCTATCTTAATTTTTCACAATGAGTGACTAAAAGCAGGACACAAATTAGACTCCGTAGGCCTTAAAAAATATGAGGACAGGAAAGGAGAGTGTCTGGGCATGGAGTGGAAAGTAGAAGGGAGAGGGCTTCTGAGTATAGTAAAAATACAATGTATTGGATGGTTTCTTGGCATTCTCAAAGTATCAGTGCAAATGGTATTTAAACAATTTCTAATTTCCATCTTTTTCATGTGCTTCGCTTGTAGTTCTAGGAAATGCTATTGCTGATGCTCTGTCATAGCTCCTCATAGATTACAACTAAAATGGAATGTGCCTGACTTGTTTTACAAAAGAGAAACAATCTCCTAACCAGGACGAAAAACAATAAATGCATGAGTAATATAGCCTGTAAACTTAAAATCTGTAGCCAAGAAACCATCCAATAAAACTACCAACGCTATGGAATATCAAAAAGAAAGAAGACAGTCGGGCAGTGGAAAGGATTGTAGTTGCAAGCAGATTTATGTGAGTTCAAGATCAGCCTGGTCTATACAGTGAGTTACAGGCCAGTTGAAGCAATAAGGAGACTGTGTCTCAAAAGATGGAGGAGGAAGAAGAGGAGGAGGAGAAGGAGGAGGGAGAGGAAGAGGAGGAGGAGGGAGGGGATGAGGAGGAAGAGGAAGGAGGATGCAGAGGAGGACGCAGAGGAGGAAGAGGAGGAGGGATGGGGAGGAGGAAGATGAAGAGGACGAAGAGGAAGGGAAAGGAAGAGGAAGGAGGGAAGAGGAGGAGGAGGAAGAGAAGGGAGGGGAGGAGCAGGAGGGGGAGGAAGAGGAGGAGGAAGAAGAGGAAGAGGGGGAAGAGGAGGGGGAGTAAGAGGAAGAAGGAGAGAGGAGGAGGAAGAGGATGTTGAGGAGGAAGAGGAACAGGAGGGGGAAGAGGGAGAGGGTGAGGAAGAGGAGGAAGGGGAGGGAGAGGAGGAGAAAGAGGAGGAAGGTGAGGAGGAGGAGGGTGAGGAAGGGGAGGGAGAGGAGGAGGAAGAGGAGAGAGAGGAGGAGGAAGAGGAGGAAGGGGGAAGAAGAGGGGGAAGAAGAGGAAAAGAAAAGAGAAAAGAAGGGAGCGAGCAAGGGAAGAAGGAAGGAAGGTCTCCACCTTACCAAAAGGAACCAAAGAGCTAGGTGCCAACAGAGCCTTGCGAAGACCAGGTATCATGCAAGGGTTGGGGCAGAGATTCCATTTAGAATAGTCTGGCTTCCTTTTTAACTCTTTAACCGGAATGAGAGACTAAAAAGACAATACAACAATAAATGTTCATTTTATTCTGTGCTTTCTGTTAATGCCAAGTTCTTTACCATTGCCCAGGAAAATACAACTCGAATGTGTGGTCTCATCTGATACATTCCAATTAGACAGAGCACATTCTAATGTTTTCAGAGTAACAAAACTCCTAACCTGGACAAACAGTTATAGATGCATTATTAGTGGAATCTGTATACTAAAAAAACCCTGACCATTATGAACTTTCTAGTGAACATAGCAACATTTTAAAATATAACAAAGACATATCCCTGAGTTGCCGAAACAGAACAGAGAGAATGGCAAAGTTCACGCTGTACTCTTACCACGTCTTGCCCATTATACCACCGACTCTGACTGAACGTAGGTTGTTTGGAAAGTGCTAGTGCACTAAAACTTGCAATGGTCAGAGCAGCATTAGCATGTGTTAGGCAATCCTGGACTAGGCCCTCTCTCCCGCATCTCTCAGAGCCTCTGCATACATCTTGGTGTAGGATTGGGGCTCTCTCTTAGTGGCTTTGGCAAAGAACTCCAGGACTTTCATCTTAGTGGTTTCAGCGTGGGCCCTTGGGCCCCACAGGAACTCATGCTGAGCAGGATCAGTGTTGGGTATCGGCCTGTACTCCAGGTACCCTTCCTGCACAAAATCCTCAGTGAAGAGTTTCCTGGGCTCCCCAAATATAAAATGATCCCTCCCAGCATAGAAGCCTAATTTATTTAACACACTCCAGAATTTCTCCTCAGTAATGCAGTTGCCCTCTGTGAAGATGAGGAACAGGGCCGTTATCATGAGGCCTGTCTTGGGTACGCCCTGGGTACCGTGCATCATCCCATCATAGGTGAGCCCCAGGGAAGTGACAAGAACGTAAGAGTAGAAAAAGGGGTTCAGTTCTATCATGCCAATGCCAAATATCATCCTCATGCACTGAGAGGCCTCACTAAAGATCAAAGAGTAGTGCTCTCCAGGATCTCTGATGACCCTTTCCAGCATTTCTGCCTTGGTGGTCAGCTCCTTCCTTTGATACTTGAGGAGCAGAAACTGCACCAAGCCAGATATCTTTGGTCTTAGTACATCTAGCACAGGGGGCACAGGTTCCTCTCTCTGTTCTACTTGGTTTCCAGAGGCCTCATCAGAGGGTCCCCCCAAAATGGAGCCCATGACAGTGGGTGGAATGGAGGCTCTCTGAGAACTCTGGGGAGAACTCTGTGCTCCCTCACCAGACACCTCCATTGCTGCCGTGGCAGCAGCTTCTGCCTTCTTGGCCAAGGGGACCTGGGCACGATCCCCATCCCTTGCCTCCCTTTGAGCCTGAGGACCCTCCCTCTCTGCGAGATTGCAGTGCTGGCTATCCTGAGCATGATGCATCATGACTTCTCCTGGGAACAGCAGTTAGGAGAGTGCAGCTCACAGCAATGAAGACTCACAGACCTGCAAGAGAGAGAGAGAGAAACGGTGAGCAGAATCGCTGATAGTTGTTCCTGTGGCAGTTCTCAGCAAAGCCTATTGCAGGCTTTTGCTTGTCTGGTACTTCTGGGACAAAGAACTGCTGGCATGCATTTCCCCCACGACGATCTGAATGAGGAAGATGTACGAATCCTCAAGGTCCACCTTTTTTTGACTGTGGCAGATTCAAAACAAGTTCCTGTGTTTCTTGAGATGGTACAAAAACAGTGAGGGCACCTCACAGCTCGTTATATGTGATGAGGGGTTCCTGAAAGAGGTAGCCCAGGCCAGTGTGGTCCTTTCGTCCTAGGATAGGAGACCTGCCTCATCCTTACCTTGGAAACTAGTAAGCACTAGAATATTCCTTTTGGTCCCTGTGCCCACCGTAGTTAAGTCAAAGGCCTTTGTCTTTGACACAGAGGGTGAGTGGAGGGAATCCACATAAAGTCCCTATGACTCCCACAGCTGACAGGACAGTAAGTAGGGGCTAGGTCCCATGTGTTTGGTTGATGGACTCCACTGGTACTCACTTTGAGTACTGACATACCTTAGATCCTGCCTGTGATGTCCCGAGTCAATGAGCCACTCGCCAGACCTTTCAGCTCCCTGAGTCCTATGATCTGGAAACAAGACAGGGGTCTCCGAATCAAAGCCCTGCCCAGTACTGTTGGGGGGAGTTGACAAAATTCAGGACAAATTTTTGTGGGCCCTCTATCAGTGCTGCAGAGTGACCTTTATTTAGCCACTGAGATCCTTACCTGGACTCCTGCCAGATCTTGGATTCTTGTCCCTAAGCTGTGTCACCTAGTCAGGTCAACTTCCCCAGCTCCTTGAGATTCTGATATCTCCTAGGAGCAGTTGCCACATCATTTCATCCCTTTGTGAGATCTCCAGTGATGCCACTTAATCTCAAATTGTCTCATCTAAGATGGGGCTAGTCCACCTGAAGTTGATTCATCTTTCCTGGCCTCATTCATCCTGTCCTTTTACAATAAGCCTCATCTCCTCAAATAATCCTATTGTCCTGCCTGAGAGTTAAGCATGCTACTTATGGTTCTGAGTCTGCCTGTGCAGTTCCTTTTTTCTTGGCTGCAGAGGTCTTAGGAGAGGTCCATATCTTAAATTCCTCTGCTCTCCATATGTGGCTCCCCTTTCTGACCAGATATCAATCCTAAGACCCAGGACATCACTTCCCAGAGGTTCCCCACCACATGTCTTAGAGCAGAAAGTAAGTCATCCCCAGCAGGCATCCTTCCAGGTCTCCCTGGGCCTCAGAACACGGGCAGGCAGGATTTATGAGGTTGCTTGTTCAGGGTCATCTTAGGTTTTTACACTGGTTCAGATCTCACTCTGATCACTCACCTGGATTGCCGCAGATGCTAGACCTTTCCTTCTGGTAATCGGACTTGGCTCCCTCTACTGCTCTGGTGATGCTCCCCACTCTACAGGCTCACCTTCCTGAGAGAGGAGACAGAAGAGAAGATGGAGCACATCTGCACCATCCCCAGAGAGTGGGTGCGGGTCACAGACTGATGAACACAGACGTTGTCTTCTGTGTCAGGGGTCCTCAAGGTCAAAGGATCCCTCTAACTTGCAGAACCATCTTTCAGATTAAGGCGACAAGTGGCCTCCATCACATCTGCTGAACTTAACCTAATGCTGCACCTTTGATCTACAGTGTTCTCTGGGGCCATCCTGTGTTGATGACAAGTATACCTCTGGCATGTCTTACATCAGAGATCTCCTTGCTCCTCCTTCAGAGCCTTCTTACCTTACCCCTCTTTAATCTGAGACCTCACTTCTAGGAAAAATCATCCTGACCATACACAGGCTGAAGCAAAGGGACACTGAGTCTGGCTACTCTGCTCAGTGACCCCACGGTCTGAGATCTGAACCGCAAGAGGGTCATTCCCACATGTGTCTTCACTGGGTGTCAGGATGCACTAATTTGGGAGTCTTGATCTCAAAAATGTCTGTGCAGTCCAGCTTTGGAATGAAGCATGGAGCACCTGCCCTCCCAGAACCTCACAAAACAGCTCTATTCCCCCAAGCCTCATAATTGGTTGACAGATGTATAGGGAGGTTATATTGGGCTTACCCCTCTGGATCTGAGGCTTCACTTCTAGGAAAAATCATCCTGACCATACACAGGCTGAAGCAAAGGGACACTGAGTCTGGCTACTCTGCTCAGTGACTCCACGGTCTGAGATCTGAACCGCAACAGGGTCATTCCCACAAGTGTCTCCACTGGGTGTCAGGATGCACTAATTGGTGAGCCTTGGTCTAAAAATTGTCTGTGCAGTCCAGCTTCGGAATGAAGCATGGAGCACCTGCCCTCCCAGAACCTCACAAAACAGCTCTATTCCCCCAAGCTTCATAATTGGTTTACGGATGGTTAGGGAGGTTATATTGGGCAAGAAGCACTCCGGCATCCTCTAAGCACCAGAACCCTTAAAATATATTTCTAAATACCCCAAGTCCCAAGATACAGCTTCAGTAACTTGGAAAGTTGCTCATTCCCAAAATTCAACTCAGGAGTGTTCCAGGGACATCATCAGGGTACAGTGTAGTTTGAATGCCCACGCCTGTCTGTCTGGGGAGGGGGTTCTACACATGCCCAGCTCTCATCTTAACTGACAAAGACCCTTGGCTGCCTGCTCTCTGGGAACCCCTGAAGTGGCTCCTAAGCACAGAGTCCCCAGCGAGAGAGCTGAAGGGGGTCCTTCCTCAACTTGCACCCCAGCTGGGCTATTGCTTGAGTACCCTGTAGGTGAAGTTGCCCTTCTGCCGTGCAGGCACAGGTCTCAAATAGTCCCTGAAAGGGAAGCTTCCATCTGAGATGAGCCACAGTCTTAAAAGTGCTCTCTGTCTTTGGCTTTTCTTGCTCCTGCTGTCTGTAATACTAATAAGTTCGACAGGGGGATCTCCACTGACTTCTTTCTCCCTCCCAGGACCCACATGGTGGCTAATAACTGTTCATAACTCCAGTTCCAGTGTATCCAACAGCCTCTTCTGGCCTCTGCAGGCATTGCATGATATGGGTGCACCTACATACATGCAGACTCCTACACTCATACACATAAATGAAAAAATCAAATATGCTTAACATGAAACTGTTAAATGTAATGTTTTTATTAAGGCTGGACAACATGTAAAGTAATGGAAACATATGTTGCTAAAGACCTTTATGTTAAGTTTTCTTTTCACAGAGAAGATGTTAAATCAATGTGATCACTTTGGTGAAAGCACAAGATATCACTAATGGTCCTAGATCTTCCTTTTGGAAAGTTAACATGAGTTTTGAAGTGTAAATATTTTTAAAGTTCTACTTGTTCTTTTAAAACAGAAGACATGGTTAATTATACAGTTCTTGTCAAGATATCATCTTTGGATCCTTGTCTCAATTTTGGTTCTACAACATTTTTCCTATTGCTTGAGGATATCAGTTAATTTTAAGAGATGCTTACTCTGCTCCAGGGTGCAATTTTTACTATGAATAATTGCTCTCTTGAGATGATAAACTCTATTCCAAATAGTCAAAAGATTACTTATGTATATTGTTTTACGTATATACATATATGGGTATTTTAAGGATTTTGAGGCCGCTACTGTCTCTTTAGAACCAACAAACAGTTTAGCAAGGTCTATATCTTTACCGAGCTAATGTTAGACTAAATCTAAACATTTAAGAAGAAAGGTAATCTTAAAAACCTGCTTCAAAGCTTATAAAGGCACCTTAAAGATAATAATTCATTTCACGTGCTATATCATAATAATATATTTGGGACAGTTATTCATCTCTGTGCTTTCAATTTTTTTAATTCTTTAAATATTATTATTATTAAATACGTGGTCATGCACGCCTTTAATCCCAGCACTTGGGAGGCAGAGTCAGGCCGATCTCTGTGAGTTCAAGGCCAGCCTGGTCTACATAGTGAGTTCCAGGACAGCTGGGGCTACAAGGAGACCCTGTCTCAATAACCCCCCGAATTTTATTTATTTATTTATTTATTTATTTATTTATTTATTTATTCATTCATTCATTCATTCATTTATTATTTTTGGTCTTTTTGAGACAGAGTTTCCTTGTAACCCCAACTGACCTAGAACTCACTAAGCAGCCCATTCTGCGCTTGAGCTCACAGAGAACCACCTGCCTCTGCCTCCTGAGTGCTGGGACTAAAGGCGTGTGCCACCACACTTGGCTTTGTGCTTTCAATTTTAAAGAATAAATGTTTAGGTCAAGACTTCTCAAATGATTAACATACTTCTTACAACGGTAAGCAGGTAGCTCAAAAGGAAAATAAAGTAAAAATATGCCAAAAATTTATCTTCTGATTGCCTCAAACCCTAATGAGAAGAGAATGCTTCTTTTAACAAAACGATTTTAAAATGCCTGTGATAATGGCTTAACAAATAATTCAGATTGATAAAAAATCAAGACTAACCAAGTTTTACCTGTGTTTATTCCTGTTAGCTATATAAGATAGTATATTTTTTAAATATTTTTTTGTTTTCATTTCATGTGTATGAGTATATTGCCTGCATATATGTAAGTGCACCCATGGCATGCAATGCCCACAGAGGTCAGAAGAGGATGTTAGGTTGCCCCGGAACTGGAATTAGGGACAGTTTTTAGCTGCCATGTGGGAGCTGGGGCAACTGGAGTTAGGGATAGTTTTTAGCTTCCATGTGGGTGCTGGGAATCGAAAAGAATTGAAGAATGCTCTTGGATTCAAAAGGACTTTGTATGGTAAAAGAAAGACTGTTCCAGATGGAAATGGATGATTGGAAGACTAAAAGATTTTAAAATGTTATAGAAAGATTGAAAAAAGCATCAGATCCCCTGGAACTGGAGTTACACACAATTGTTAGCGGCCATGTGGGTGCTGGTAACCAAACTTGGGTCCTCTAAAGAACAG